CATTAGTTTATCCAGAGAATCCACAGCCACAGTGCTGTGAGAATGGTGGAAGATGTGAGAAATAGTGATGAGATTGGAGCCTCGAATGGAAGCCAGATTGTGCCTTAGTCTGAGGAAACTATAGTACTTCTTTAAAAAAACCTGGATTTTTGCTCTAATCTAAAGAGCCCTCGAAAACAAACCAAAACCAAGATGGGACGATCAGAGTTATTTTTGGAAGGCTAATTCTGGCATCTGTGTGGAGGACGAATCGGGACTGATAGATGGGAAGGAGTGATCGGAACACTAGTTAGGAGGTTGTTTCGGTAATCTAGGAGCCAGGTGTCGCAGGCCTGACACAGGGAGACACAGTGGAGGTAAGAACGAGGGCGTGGATTTTTGAGGATGTTACAGGAACAGAACGGTTCGGATTCAGTGACTCGTTCCATGTAGTAGGGGAACGAACAGTAAATGAAATGTTGATGGTGGAGGTTTCTGGATTGGTTGACAGTTGGACGTGTTAGCAGGATATCGAAGGAGTACGACTTACATCTTAATCTCAGGAGGAAAGCAGAATTGGGGAATTTAAGAATTACTGGCTTTTCTATGATAGTTAAAACTTTGGTAGTTAATGATACCATCTTTAGATAGTGAAGAGCTAGAAGAGAAAGCAAGGCAGAGATCTCCGTGACACCAGCGTTTATGGGACCGTGAAGCCAGTGAAGGAGACAAAGGAGTAGCCAGAGTCAGACCAGGAGGAGTGGTACGGCCAGACCAGGGGACAGGGGTGTGCGAGTGGGGATGCTGACATCTGGGGTTACAGGAAGTTCACGTAGCTCGAGCACTGAGAATAGGGCATCGGGCTGGGAAATTTGGAGCTCTTTGGTGACATTTGTCAAGAAAGTGTTTTCTTCCTGGAGGAGGAGATTTTGAAAGCCCAACTACAATGGTTTAAAGTTTGGGTGAATAGGAGGTGAGAAAGTGGAGACAGTGTAGAGTGAGTGGTGGTAAAGAGAGGAGAGAGAGTGGTTAAAAGAGGTACTGGGTTGAAGGAGGGGCTTTTGGAAAGTAGTGGTCCGAGCACCCTCGTGGGCAAATGGAGAAAGGAGTAGGAAGGTGGAGTGGAGGGCATGGGGCAAAAGAGGGTTAATAATTGATGAAAGTTTCGGAGGCAACAAAGATGAAAGATTTGTCTCAGAAAAGAAGATGACCAGGATCTTCTAGGACACAAGAAGAGGAGTTAGAAGTGGGAAGAACGTGGATAAATTGGCTTCCTTTGGCCTGCTGGTGTCAGTGGCTTCTCAGTGGTGTGTGCTGTTCCTCCACAAGGACCTCCAGGCCCATCTCCTTTCGGATGCTCCTTGTGGAGACTGTGTGTCACTTACGGATTCTCTTCTTTCTTTTTTGTTATACTTTCCTACTCTGCAGCTGCTTATGTGTCTCCTCAGAATGTTTTCTTTCCGTCTTCAATTTCTTCTTTTCTGGTTGGGAAACCTTCATGTTCTCCAATAAATGAGCGTGTGAAGAACGAGTTCTCCAACTCTAAGCCTTCTCAGACAGAGGCACCATACGCCTGTTTGAACACGTGGCCCACAGAGAGATCGTGCTGCCTGTTACTGAGACAGTCCCTTGCTGCCCTCGCCATGGAAGCATTTGTGTTCTCAAGTCTTCCTTGGCAGAAGCGTCGGTGGAAGGGAGAGTGTGTTAAAGGACTGTAGCCATACCCTTACTATGTCAGCACACCGTATTTGGAGTTACTTGTCTAGATATGAACAGGAAATAGTGCTAGAATTTGGCTGTCTTGCTGACAAAGAACCTATTTACTTTGAAAAGCACTCTTTTTTATAGCTACTGATATGCTAGAACTGATTTCCTCATGTAGAAACGTGTTAAAACTTAAATTACCTACACACACACAAACATATATGTGTTATGTGTATATGTGGTATATTTAGAAAAAGGAAGGAATTTTAGAAGTACTTGGTGTTTCCAAGCCTTTTACCTCACATACAAATTACCTGTTTTAAATACCGTCTTTATTTTCAGTTTGATGACAGAGTGGCGTTTTTCTCGAGGAGTACAAGAACAGACTAAAGCTTTCCTTGATGGCTTTAATGAAGTTGTTCCCCTTCAGTGGCTGCAGTACTTCGATGAAAAGGAGTTGGAGGTGAGACTCTTTTATTATGCCGTTACAGGGAATGTTGACGGGAGGAGAGACTGCTGTTGTGCTTTTACAGAAGAAGGTCCACACATTTTAAAATCTTTGGCACAATCATGAGTCCTCTCCTTCATCCAGATGTTTAAGGGGTTAAAGCCCTAGCACGGAGTGAGGGTCTTACGTTCTCTGAACCATGATGATGTCATCACTAAGTACCAACTGTTGGGGTCCTAAAGAGTGAATGCACCCTTAATAATTCCAGTGAGCTTGCAGAAATCCTGGATTACTAGTGACTTGCCCCAAAGATCAGACTTTTAATTCAGGAATTCTTAGTGACCTTAACTTTATTTAGACTTGTTAGAAGAATATCAGGAATGCTTTTCTTTTTTTGGTAATAAAATTCAATTCACATAACATAAAATTTACCATCTTGAACATTTTTAAGTATACAGTTCAGTAGTGTTAAGTATATGCACATTATTGGGCAACCAATCTCCAGGACTTTTTCCTTTTGCAAAGCTGAAACTCTATACACATTAAACAACAACTCCCCATCTCCCCTCCTCCCAGCCCCTGGCAGCCAGCTTTCTGTTTCTCATATAAGTGAAATCATACTGTATTTGTCTTATTGTGACTGGCTTAATTCACTTAGCATAACGTCCTCCCAGTGCATCCATATCATAGCATGTGTAAGAATTTCTTCCCTTTTTAAGGTTGAATAATATTTCATTGTACGTATATACCACATTTTGTTTATCCATGCATCAGTCAATGGATATTTGGGTTACTTCCACCTTTTGGCTGTTGTGAATAATGCTGCTGTGAACGTGGGTGTACAGATATCTCTTTGAGACCTTGCTTTCAATTCTTGTGGATATATACCCAGGAGTGGTATTACTGGATCATACAGTAATTCTATATTTCATTTTTTGAGGAACTGCCACACTGTTTTCCATAGCGGCTGCAGCATTTTACATTCCCCCCAGAAGTGGACAAAGGTTCCAATTTCTCCACATCTTTGCCTACACTTGTTATTTTCTGTTCGTTCGTTTGTTTGCTTTATAGCAGCCATCCTAATGGGTGTGAGGTGATATCTCATTGTGGTTTTGATTTGTGTTTCCCTAATGATTAGTTACCATGACTTCTTGAAGTCTCCTTTTCCCATACAGAGTAGAACATGGGCAGGGCATTAGGATAGTCCATGGCATTTCCTTTCTGCCTCCTTTGGGTATAGTATTTTAACTTGAGCCATCTTGGGTCCTCTGTTGAGAAACTTGGTTCATTCATGTAATCAAATGTACATATGAAAAATTAGCATCTTAAATTTCATGCAGTAATATTCCTATGTAGAAATTAGCCCTCTGGAAACTGACTGACATGGGAAGTAAATGAAAATCAGGACTCCGAGCCTGAATGACACGTGGACTCTCTCTAAGCCTAGTTAACATCTCTTTCTTAACAGCTTGCTTACACAAATTAACAGAAGCATGTTAGAAGAGTAAAATGGAAGATATTTTTTAGAGTAGTTATTAATCATTTTTAATCACAGACTTCATTAAGAATCTGAAGAAAATTAAACAACTTTATATTCTCAAAATTTGTACACCTAAAATATTCCATGTCTTCGGTTAAGAACTCCTATCTTAGAGGCAGAGCTCCGGCATCGGAGCAGAGGTGAGACCAAACAGTAGGTCGGAAAGGATGTGGACAGGCACACTTCCCCGTAGCCCTTCGTCACGTTTACAGTGTTGTCACGTACAGTCCTGGAAATGGTTTGGCCGTATGATCATTTCCTTTTACGCACAGGGAGACAAAAGCCCTTACTGGTTACCAATTTGCCCTTAGCTCATAGTACAGAGCTGTGAGAAAATCTTGATTTTTACTCCTAGTCTATTGTTCGTTCTTTCACTCCCATTCATTGTCTCTGTTAACCGTGAATAATATCACAATAATAGGTATTCATACCATTATTCAAAATAATAGGTATTCATAATCATGCCCCGTTTTACAGGTTAAAACTTTAAGAAGATATGACAGTCATTCTTTATAAAAACTCTCATCACACTAGGAATAGAAGCAACTTTCTCAGTTTGATAAGGGCATGAACAAAGAAGATAAACCCTGACATCGTTCTGAATGGTGATACCTTGAGTAGTTCTTGTTGAGACTGGAACAAGGCAAAAATGTCCATCTCTCCATTTCTGTTCTGCGTTGTACCAGATGCCCTAGCCAGTGCAAAAACCAAAATAAAGAGCATACAGGTTGGAAAGAGTAAAACTGTCCGTATTCACAGATGATAAGATGATTGCCACCTTAGCAAATCCTAAGAACCTACCCCAAAGCTACTAGAAATAATAGTGAATTTAACAAGACTGTAGGGGACAATGTCAGTAATTTAAAAATCAATTGTATATCTTGTATATACTAGCAACAAACACTTGGAAATTGAAATTTTAAAGTTTCATTTGCTAATACATCCAAAAAATGAACAAATTTAACCAAAGGCATGTAAGACTTCTGTACTGAAAACTCAAACATTGCTCAGCAAATTAAAGACTTTAATAAATGGAGAGATATACCGTGTTATGCATTGGAAGACTCAGTATTGCAAAAATATTCGCTCCAAATTGATCTGTGTATTCAACACAATCCCAATCAACATCCCAGCAGAATTTTCTTAAGGAACTGACAAGCTGATTCTAAAATTACGAGGAAATGCAAAGGCTCTGGATTAGCCAGAACAGATTTTAAAAAGGACAAACTTGGAGGATGCTCATTACTTGATTTCAAGGATTACTGTAAAGCCGTAGGAATTAAGATCATGTGGTATTTGTGAAAGGATAGACAGATAGACCAGTGGAACACGAGAGAGTCCACACATTGTGTCAGTTGATTCTCAAGAAAAGTGCTAATATATTTCAGTGGAGAAAGGGAAAGTCTTTTAAACAGATGATGCTGGATCAACTGGATATCCATATGGAAGAAAATTAATCTTGACCCCTACTTCAGCCCATAAAGATTAATTTAAAATCAGTCATAAACATAAATAAGAAAGCTATAAAGAAAATAGGAAAAAATCTTAGTGTAGGCAAGAGTTTCATAGGGAGAACACAAAAAAGCAATAAACCACATGCACACACAAAGGATAAATTGGACTTCATCAAAACTTAAAAAACTTCTGTTCTTCAAAAGACGCTGTTAAGTAAATGAAAAGGCAACCTACACACTGGGAGAAACTATTAAGACAGAGGTCTTATATCCAGAATATATATTCACAAAACCTCTTATGACTTAATAAACAGTCAAAATGTTTTTTAAATGGGCGAAGACTCCACAAAAGTTGGGGGTTTTTTTGTTTTTTTGTGTGTGTGAGGAAGAATAGCCCTGAGCTAGCATCCGCCACCGATCCTCCTCTTTTTGCTGAAGAAGATTAGCCCTGGGCTAACATCTGTGCCCATCTTCCTCTACTTTATGTGGGACGCCGCCACAGCATGGCTTGACAAATGGTGCATTGGTGCTCGCCCAGGATCCAAACCCGCGAACCCTGGGCCGCTGCAGTGGAGCACGCACACTTAACTGCGATGCCACTGGGCCGGCCCCCTAAAAGAGGCTATATTGATGACATAAACACATGCAAGATGCTCACTAGTCACTGGGGAAATGCAAATTAAAACTAAACGTAATACCACTTGGGGGCAATGTTGGTAGTTTCTTACACTGTTAAACATCTATCAACCTTACGCCCTAGCAGTTCCACTGTTGGGTATTTACCCAGGCGAAATGAAATATATATTCACACAAAGATTTTGCCATAAATGTTCATCACAACTTTATTCATCAAAGCCAAAAATTTAATCTAAGTGTCCACCAGCAAGTGAATGGATGAATAAATTGTTGTATATTCATAGAATAAAATACCACTCAGTGATATGAAAGAAGCACTGGTCCCCACAACACTGTGGATTAATCTCCTAAACGTGCTGGTGGGTGGGGCAGGGGGTGCAGAAGTGAGAGAGAGAGAGTGTGTGTGTGTACACACTATGTATGATAGTCTCAAAAATCTGATCTGTGGTGAAGTCATTGATCACCTAGAGCCAAGGATGAGGATGGTAGTTTTGACTGCAAAAAGGGACATAATGGAAATATTCTACATTTTAATTGTGGTGGTGGTTACACAGGTGTATACATCTGTCAAAACTCATTTACGGGACCGGCCCCATGGCTTAGTGGTTGAGTGCTCGCGCTCCGCTACTGGCGGCCCGGGTTTGGATGCCAGGCGTGCACCGACGCACCGCTTCTCCGACCATGCTGAGGCCGCGTCCCACATACAGCAACTAGAAGGATGTGCAACTATGACATACAGCTATCTACTGGGGCTTTGGGGAAAAAAAAAACAAATGGAGGAGGATTGGCAATAGATGTTGGCTCAGAGATGGTCTTCCTTAGCAAGAAGAGGAGAATTGGCATGGATGTTAGCTCAGGGATGATCTTCCTCACAAAAATAAATAAATAAATAAAACTGTTAAAAAATTTACCTCTATACTTAAAATAGGTGAATTTTATTGTATGTAAATTAACTATTTTATTATGCCAAAAAAAGTTTTCATCCCATATATAGTAAACTGGGGTTATTTGCAAATTTCACATATGTAGACTATTTTATTCCCAAAGCCAGGATAAATGAATAACAGGAGATTAGTATATTTTTACTTTTAAATAGATAAGATAGGGCCGGCCCTGTGGCTTGGTGGTTAAGTGCGCGCGCTGCGATGCTGGTGGCCCGGGTTCGGATCCTGGGTGCGCATCGAGGCACCACTTCTCCGTCCATCCTGAGGCCGAGTCCCACATACAGCAACTAGAAGGATGTGCAGCTATGACATACAACTATCTACTGGGGCTTTGAGGGGAAAAAAATAAAATAAATAAAATCTTTAAATAGATAAGATAGCATAGATTTTAAAAAAAGAACCAGAAATTTATGTTTGAAACTTTTCAGTAATTTGGGATGTATTTATAGTAGAAGAGATACTCTTTTTAGCACAACTAATGTTTTTCTTGAAGAATAGTTTCTCTAAATGTTGTGTTCAGTTTGAGTTCAATAAACATGAATAAGATAAAGTACCAAAGAATCCTGTATGTTAAATGGCCACAAATTTTGTTGGATTTGCTTACTGTGATCATTACTTGTCGAGCACACAGCTATTCATGTAATTATGCCTGTGCTTAGCTGTGCGTCAGTGGCCTTCAGTCTCGTGGTTGTCCCCGTCCCCAGATCTTCACCACGGCCTGGCCCTGTGCTCACTCCCCAGGTTATGCTGTGCGGCATGCAGGAGGTTGACTTGGCGGATTGGCAGAGAAATACTGTGTATCGACATTATACAAGAAACAGCAAGCAGATCATTTGGTTTTGGCAGGTATTTGCTTTTATTTTTTTGAAACAAAATATTCAAAGAAAACGTTTTCTAATGAAACAGTGGTTTAAACAACAGTTATTTTTCATATTGAGACTGCTCTTGGATGTGGTCATTAGTCTTTGAATTCACATCAGAAGTAAGTCGCGTGGACCCTTGTTACAGGCCTTCCCAGTGCTTATCTTGACTGTCTTCCCAGATAAGAGCATGAATGACAGACTCTCCTGTGCGGAAAAGTGTAATGGTCATAGTTGTAGCTATAGCATTTTTTTTCCTAGTAGTATAAAAGTACTCTATAAATTCTACTTAATTCTAAACATAAATGAGGAAGTGTGTTTTTAATGAGAAAGTCAGTGCAGATACTTCTTCCTCTGAAGGTGATACTGTGCTAGGGAACTAGAATAATCTAGAGGACCATGTCCAGGAATGACTTTTTCCTTTTCTCTCTCTCTCTCCTCCCGCTCTCTTTCCTTACTTTTGTTGGTGTGTTGGCTTAAACTCCAATAGCGTGGTCTCTGGGCATCCACATACTACAGCTGATCTTGAAGCACATGTTAATAGACTTCCTGTTTTGTGTGTTTATTTCAGAATTTAAAATCTCTATTTTAAAGGGCTATTCTTCACACAAATCTGCTAGTTGAGACTCATTCAAGCAGCTTAGTGACTGAACTTCTGGTTTACTTTTGTTTAACTGTATCACTTTCAGGTGAAAAGTAAGCCTGGGTTTTTGTATTACTATAGAAAGATTTTCCAAAGGTTTCATCTTTTCATAAGGATATGTTTCATGTGTTTACTGCTTAATACTTTAATGAAGTGTGCACACTTCTAGAAATTTATCTTACAGATGTACCTCAACATATGCAAAATGGCACGTACCAGAATATTTACTGCAACGTTATTGGTATACTAACAGACTTGAAACACCTAAATGTCCATCAGGAGGGGACTAAGTAAATAAATTATAATATATCCATTCTGTAATTCTGTACCTTGTAATCATTCTTTTTTAAATGCAAATTAACAAAAATATTGGAGAATAATATGTTTCAATACAGTATTAAGGGGAAGAGGAAGGTGTGTATAATATGATGCTATTTGGTTGAAAGGAAAACTTAGATTCTGTGGAGTCAGGGTCTGTGCGGGTATGTGAATGTGCCTTCTCTGAGGAGGAGGCAAGAAACCCGGCAGCAGTTCCAGAGCGAGCTGAGCAGTCAGGGGAGAGGTGCAGAAGCGGCTCTTCACTCTCAGTTCTGTACTGTGTGTGCGTATTACCTGCTAGAAAAAGTCAGTAAACAAAAAGGTAGGAATAAATCCATTTTCAAGCCTCACGTATCTGAATTGCATCCCAGACAGAACGTATGCAGGTGTCTGCAGTCTTCCCTTTCAGGCCCTTTCCCAGCCTCCTTCCTCCCTTGTGTTCTGACTTTCCGTTTGGGCGTTTGTGTCTTTGCACCTGAGGAGCTGAAACTTGGGGTCCTGTAAACCTAAACGAAGGTCGTGTTTTCTGCATTGGGTTTGTTTTAGGGAAAGTGGTGAGGTTTATGTCAGACCCGGTCATGAGCTCTCTCTCGTGTCTTGACAAAATACATGCCTCAGCACAGTTCTGTGTGTTTGTTCATGATTAGCACAGCATTTTCTCTTATCTTGAGCTAACGTGTAGTCCCTGTCTTTAAGATATATTTCTATGCACACTGCGCCCTAAGTTCCTTGCCTTCTAAGATACTGAGACCAACTCAAATCAGTATTGCACCACGTTACTCATTTATGGCCCTCTTTAAAAAGAGAGAGTCAGTGAACTAGATATTTTTAGAGGAATGCATACTTTGGGTTTTCAAGTATGAAGAACACAGAAAGTTTGGAAAATGGTGTTTAGTGGGAGAAAATACCAAAAACTATTGAGAGTGGCAATTGGGAAGTGTTCATTTGTCTTTGGTAACTTATGAGGGGGAGAGTAGTCGGCTCAGGTCAGGATAACAGGGGTTTAGAACCCAACCAGACTGAGTTGATTGTTAGTTCTGCTACTAATTAGCGGTTTGAGAAGGAGAAATTATTTCACCTCTCTAGGCCTCCATTTTCTAATATGTGTAGAGGAGTGGTTAATGATAGTACCTCCCTCTCAGTGTTGTTGTGAGGGCTAAATACACAGCAGGCATATGGGGAGCCCTCTGTAGGTGACGGCCCAGCATCTGCCCTGGGTACCCGTTAGTGGTACGTACGGCCTTGGACAAATGACAGCCTCTCGGAGCCCCTGTTTCCTCTCTGTGGGTTGATCACAGTGGCTGACCCACGTTCATGTGGGAATGAACTGAAGTGAGAGTCGCCATGTACTTAGCATGGTGCCTAGCCTTCATAAACAATAAATGCCCCAGCCACTTGTTATCACAGACCTTTTGAACCAATTTCTGTGTTAAATTTCTTATTCTTCAGGATAAATTCTTAATTTTATTGAAGAAATTTAAGAATAATTTGTCTACTATTTTTATTACTGAAGATAATTTAGCATTGATTTTATCTTAAAGTAACTTCGATTTTGTCACAGTTTGTGAAGGAGACAGACAATGAAGTGAGAATGCGACTACTGCAGTTTGTCACTGGGACCTGCCGATTACCTCTGGGAGGGTTCGCCGAGCTCATGGGTAAGTGCAGTCCTCTGGGGTGATTTGTGACGGTGAT